AACAGCCAACTAATAGTACCAATAAGTGAATCTACTAAGCTGAAAGATGTTTATGAGAAAAAATTAAGCAATATTATTTAAAATATGAAAGGTAAGATGATTTACCCCAGGCAAACAATCATTTCAAATCAATTTCATCATGTGTAAAACTGTAAATAACTGTCTACTTACTTATAGAAATTTAATACAAATTGTTTTTAAATATGATTTAATTAAAATGTTTCCTTGTTTCAAAGGTTGTTACAGCTTTCAATTGCACAAACAGTACAGGTGGACTCCCTTATCAGAATCTATACATCTGAAAAGATCTGGCACTTGTGGCTGTTCGGTCTTGTCTCCTGGAGTTCCCTCCTTTGGCCACTAGGCAGCTTCCTTCCATAAAATAGGAGAAGTGCCTTCCCACCCGCAGAATTGTTTGCACCTAGTGATTATGAATCTTCCAATATTTCAAGGAGTCATATGGCTCCTTATCCCTTTTCCTTTGGACTCTAGTACCATCTAATATTCCTTAAGCACTAACACCTTTGTGACATGATGTTAGTGATTGTGTTAGAAATGTACTCATTACCTTGCTCACGTAATTGTAACTCCTTTGTACGGTATTTTCACAATAAAAAAAAACCTTATTAATTAAAAAAAGAACAAGTCCAATGTATTTAAGCCTGCCCTTTCTCAGATATTGAATTAAGTTCCTCCTCCTTCTCTAGCATCTTGGTGGCACCATGTTTGTGATTATGCTGTAACATGATGTCATATGTGCTTACTTGGAAAATTTATCAGAGGGGCCATATTTTCTGAATTTCTACCACTATTGACTATCATACTGATCCATGTACCTCAGTAAATATTTGGAGCAACAAAATAAAATTGGAAGCACAAAATACATGGTTTATGAACATTCGGAGGGCAACACATTTATTTTGAGAAAATTGCCAGTATGTTTTCTCCTTGAAAGGGGCATGGAAAATGTTATTGCACCCATTTCTGTGCATGGTAAAATTCAGTGTCCTGAAAATGTTCTTGATCATGAGAATGCAGAGTAGGTTCCTAAAATAATTAATTAGATTTAATGTCATGCAGAAATATTTAAATTTCTTTCAGTTAAGGTTACTTTTTCTTTTCTGTTTCAAAAGTGTTAATAATTGTAGGACTTTTTCATGAGTAGTAAGGCTTACTTCAGAGTGTGTTTTTATGAGACTATTTTTGTAAACTATTTTGTAGATAGAGTTCTTCAAGCCACACACATACAATATCTCCTGTTTGATAATGACCTACTCTGGACTATGTAATTTAAGCAATTTTACTGCCCTAAACAAGGACTAGGATTACAAGTCACTTTCTGACAGATTCATTGGTATCTAACAATAGTCTTGTGTTCTTTCTTCTGAGAGGCCATTTTGCAATATACTTAGTAATACTGTGATCTTCTATAGTGCTAGGCTTCGCTACATAGACACTCAATAACAATGATCTGTTCCTCTGTTTAAATATTCTGATTAGTGTTCTCAATGAAATAAGATTAGATTTTAAGTTACAATGCTGTAAAAATTTATTATTTATTGGTGCTTGTTTCAAATGATCATGTTGTGGGAATGATTTTAAGAAGAAAATTATTTATCATGTTACAGGAGTATTAGCAATATTTACATAAAATCAGAAAAAATCATGCAGAGGCTATTTTATATTTTATTAAAATATCAAGCAAAGAAATATGAAATAATATGCTTCATTTGGTCAAACTTGTTCTGAGAAATCAACCTAAGGTTAAGATGAACTGAAACATAGTTTACATATATGTAAATTTTAAATAAATGTACATGCAGTGTATTTTGAATGTGTTCTAGGTTAAGTTTGAAGGATAAATATTTGGCTTGATAGTTTAAGTAATAATAGCTTGTCATTATTTTAAAGTACTTGGAGAAATTAGTGCAGTTTTGGGGAATTCAACTATCACAGTGTCTCAAAATCTTTAATGAGTGAGTTAGCAATGGCACAGAATTTCTCTTTTGCACAGATGTGACTTTGTCATGAATTGGAATTCAGGCTGGAGGCATTGTTCAAGTTGCAGGGCACTTGCCCAGAAAGCACAAGGCCCTGAGTTCAAATCCAAGTATGAAAGAAAGACAAAGAAAGAAAAGCAAGCAAGCAAGCAAGCCGGGTACCAGTGGCTCACGCCTGTAATCCTAGCTACTCAGGAGGCTGAGATCTGAGGCCCTCAATTCAAAGCCAGCCCAGGCAGGAAAGTCTGTGAAACTATTACCTCCAATAAATCACCAGAAAATGGGAAGTGGTGCTGTGGCTCAGGTGGTAGAACACTAGCCTTGAGCTGAAGAGCTGAAGGACAGTGCCCAGGCCCAGAGTTCAAGCCCCATGTTTGAAAGAAAGAAAGAAAGAGAGAGAGAGAGAGAAAGAAAGAAAGAAAGGAAAGAAAGAAAGAAAGAAAGAAAGAAAGAAAGAAAGAAAGAAAGAAAGAAAGAAAGAAAAACAATGAAATAAAGGAAGAAAGGAAGCAGGAAAGTAAGAAAGAAAAACGTTGCTTACAAAAAGATAAAATGAATGTACTATGTTAAACAATGACAGTATATTTCATATGGGCATCTATATCTTTGAAGTACAATTATAGGAAAATTATCATCCAAAATCTGTGAATAGAATCTAAAAGGAATCTGGTAAGAACTGTCCTATGTTCTACAATGTTCTAACACTTCAATGATACATTGTAAACAAAAATGTAGCTATGTATTGGTAATGAAAAGAAATGTGAGTACTTAAATAAGGCTAGGCAATGTAATTTACAATATACCTATGCATGAAATAGATGATCTTACGTGCCATATCATTAGATGATATATGACAGTATTATAGATGAGTACTTTCTTCTGCTCTACTTGCTAGAAATAGTAAAATGTTTTAGATAGCTAACTTTCTTATACCTGATATAGCTATATTTCCTCAATTCTAGAATTGACATAAATATTGTTGTTATATGTGTTTTGATATTATAACAAACAATATTTCACAAATATGTACAAAAAACAAGCCCATAAATCCAATCCATTCCATACACAAACCAGGGTGATTCTATTTCCTTGAGAATTACAATGGTTTATCCTGATGATACAATTTAAATGAAATAGCAATAATTCCATTTTGGTTTCCAAATTGTGTGTTGACTACAAACATCTTCCCCTTAAGAGCTGGTTCATAGATTGAACAAATTAATATCCATTTATTTAGCAGAAGGATACAGTAACAATTTTATGCTAATCTTAGTCCCAGCATATGAAACCTGTCTGTAAAGCTAGTTTATTTTTAACACTTAGCTTAGGATTTTTATGAAATGCATGGGTAAAACTTAATAGCTCTTAAATGAAGAACTTTTCATTTCTTAGTTGCTGGAATGGAAGCTTATTTCTGGAAATGAATCTGGCTTCCTCAATTCCTCCCCCATTCCCCACACCAATCTTATACTTGGAGAAAAGGAAGAAACACAAGCATTCCCTCCAATTGTTTCAACAGCTTCAGTTAGAAAGTGCTTAATTTATTTTCCTGTAGAAAGAAGTCTAGTACTATTTACTTCATCATCCAGTCACTGTTTCTAATGTCTAGATTTTGGAATCTCTTGGCATTTACAATTATACCAATTTAGCTAGCTGATGTATGTGACCTTAATGATTAAGGAGCTTAAATACCCTGAAATATAACTTCTTAGAGGCAAACATTCAGGAGACTCTAATCTTAAGCACTGGATATGCACATATATAAGTAATTTCTCGAATTCTGTACCTAACAGCCCTTTTTCTTCTATGCTAGAAACAAATGGTTTAGCACAGAAAAATCTTTTGCTAGTAGCCACACTGCTGATTTCTTGTGGGGAAGGATATTAATTTCCTTCTGAAAAGATGGTAAACATTCCACAGATTCATACATGGCATCACAGATTCCCATTAACAAGAGCAGTAATGGAATCTCTTTGCACAAAGTAAATCAGATTCTAAATCCAATAAGAGATTACAAAAAAATACCTTTCACTAATGAATAACAATGCATTAAATCATCAGTTGTCTATGTCACTCAATATACTTCTCAACAAAGTTTTAATATTGCACTTAAATTACCTCTGTGTAGATACATATCTCACTTTAAATACATTTTAAGTTAAATATATTATCTACTTATCTATATATAATTTATAATCTGTATATCTGTAGATATCTATATCTATTTATATAATATATAAATTAAGTTACATATAATTTAATTAATTTAGTTTGACACAGTTGTGCAGGCCTGTATTCCCTATAAATCTGAAGTCAGAAATAGGAAGATCATATGTTGGAGGTCAGCCTCAGCAAAGTTATCAAGATACTATTATAAAAACAAAAATCAGGCATAGAGTACTGGACTTGGGTTCAATGCCTACTACTTCACACACAAAAATAAAAGAAATATTTTTTTTCTGTCAGTCATGGGGCTTGAACTCTGGACCTGGGCTCTGACCCTCAGCTCTTCGGCTCAAGGCAAGTGCTCTACCACTTGAGCCACAGAGTCACTTCCAGTTTTCTCATGGTTAATTGGAGATAAGAGTGTCATAGACATTCCTGCCCAAGTTGGCTTTGAACTGCGATCCTCAGAGCTCAGCTTCTTGAGTAGCTAGGAATACAAGCATGAACCACTGGCGACTGGCATAAAGAACAATTTTTAAAAATCAAAGTAAGGATAAGTAGAATAATAACTCCTTTATGCAAATACATAAAGATATATATATATATATATAATAAACTAATGACAAAACAAAATGCATAAGCACATACATAAACATTTGTTTTCATTTTTCTGACAACCAAATTTAGAATGGTAAATAAGAAGATAAATCCTTATAAGCCTTATAGTGTTGACAAACATACGAATGTTCATTACCTAGGTTTTATATTTCATAGTACTATCCAATCATATAGCAAGTGACATCTCCATGGGAGACCATGTCAGATATGCTGTACCTTTTCATGGACTTTCTGCCCAGGCTCCATCCCTTCAAGGTGTTCTGACTCTGTGGACCCCTCACTTGATGCCATTTTTCGTTGTATGTGAACATTTTGTTCACGTAAGGCAACAATCTGCAAAATAAAAGCATTATTCTTTTAAAACTTAAACAGTGTAAAAATCAGAATTTGCTTGACTGTAGTTAGTCACTAGTGAGTAGTAGGGAGTGATGAAAAATAATCATTAAGTTTTAGTCAGGTTGCTACGTCAAAAATATTTTCAAAGGTTAAGTTGGTATTTTAAATAATATGTTTACAAAAGGTTGTAACACCTCTCCTAAAGAAAAAGTTAATGCACTGTGAAAATTTTCTGAGAAAAGATTTTGTAGCTTAAAAATGTTATCTGCTTGGGAATCCACCTAAGAAACGATCTGATCCATGCATTGTTAACTTAGAAAATACTCATTAATGTAATTTGGGGAATTGCCCTACATACTCTACAGGCTAGAGGCATGGCTCAAATGGTAGAGTGCTCACTTAGCAAGCTGACCCTGAGTTAAATCCTCTGAAACAACACCACTGCAAAATCTTATCATTTGTGTGTTTAAAGTATACAGGAAACCTAAATGAAAAGATTGAAGATATTGAAGGTTAAAATTATTAGTTCTCATTATAATTATTTATGTACAGTGATAATATGTTATAATTTCAAAGCAAGCATACAAAAGCTAGACTTAAATAACTAAAACTATCACGTGTACTTAAATTGTTCTATTATTATTTTAATGGATATTGATTTAGTATTTTGTATACAAATATACTCAATGTACAGACATTCAGAAAGCAATTATAGCTTGAAAATTTTCTAGACAGGATATTGGAATTATATCTTAAAAATTATAGGTATTTTTTTAATCTAAAAAAAATGTTCCTAGATTGTTGTAACATATGCAATCTTAGTATAAGACACACAGCAATCAAATTCTTATCTTTTTTGAAACAGTCTTTTAAAATTTGTTTACTATTTATATTTGTGCTTTTAAAAATATTTTGTATTACATTGGAGTCATATCTTACTTTGTAGAAAGTTTTATTATATTACCCACTCAGGCTAGTTAGCTATTAATAAGATTATCTCCTGTGGTATGTGATATACAGCAAACACTGAATCATACAACTACATGTGATTTGAAATCATAAGACAAATGTATGGCATAGACTTATGATTGCTTTGAAATGGCTGAGTGTTGTGCTGCCTGACAGTGCTTCAGTGCTTTGATCTATTAGGGTGTATCTAGGAGATCACCATAGTTATATATAACTATTTCCTCTACTTTTATTCATGCCTATAGACAGCCTAATATTCATAAAGCACCCAGATTCACCTTTTAAATGTGTTCTAACATTGATTTGAAAGCATCTCCAAAGTAGTTAGCACATTCTTACAAGGTCCATAATGCCTACATTGAACAAGGTCTAGATCCCACTGGCCTCAATTCTCTTCCTCAAATGCAGCTGGATCTCTTATACCCAGAAGAGAGGAATTTTATTGTTCCTTTCCCTGAACATGTTTCCCCTGTTACCACAGTTAGTAATAATCTCAGCTTTCAACACACAGCTGAGTTGCCAGAGGCATGCTTTCAGTAGCAGAGCACCTGCAAATGTAGGGCCCGGTTTCAATCCTTAGTACCACTAAAACAAAATCCAACAACAACAATAAAACTCCATTCTGGAGAATACACATGTTTACTTTATACTCTTGTTTATTTTTTTGTGCAGTATTCACTTAAATCTAATGTTTTATTCCTTTGTTTACTTGGCTAGCAGAAGCCTTCATACAATATCAAGCGAAAATAATGTTCTAAGGAGCATTTTTGTGCAAATAGCATTTTCATTTGAAGTAGCACATTAAATTATTATGAACAGGGAAGTCCATGAAAGCATGGTCATTTAATTAATGAGTGGATACAAAAGATAAAGAACACAAATTCAATTGATTCAGAGTAAAAGATTGAGAGTGCTTGAGAATTGTCAAAAGACATTTCTTTCATATCAGTTAGCATAAAAATGGGTTACATGAAAGGGACAAGAAAAATGAGTCAGCTCCTAGAAAATCATGTCTAGATGACATTCTTAACATGTTGATTTTTTAATAGAAATAATGTATTAACATTGATACATGAGGAAATTTTATTGAGAATTAAAAAATTTCTAGTATTAGTATCAGTTAGACAACACCCACTATGTAACACACAGGATTAAAGTACCAGGACATTAAAATTTCTGTAAATTTTCTTACATTCTTCGGAGAATTACAGCAGCAGCATTCCTTTAAGAAGGTTAAAACACCAAATTTAACTCTCAGTTTACAGATTAACTCTCACTGTTTGTAAATCAGATGGATTTCAAATATCTCTTAGTGCCTAAAATAAGCATGCCAACTATAAAGTTTCAGTGAGTAAATTACTAAAATAGTGAATCAGTTTCCTTTTATAGGAAAATCATAGCATCAAATTCATTCACAAAATATGTACATGACAATTACTTCCAAGTAAAACATTGTTTCAGTAACTAGCATGTAACATCTTTTTTTTTTATAAATAAACCAAGTCAAAGTTTTTTTTGAAACATAATGATGTAAAATATACCATATTCTCAATTAATACTATATGATGTTCATCCTGTTTCTTTTCTTGTTGATAATGAAATGTCTTGGGTAGCTTTAAAATTAGTTTAACATTTGATTTAATTGTAATTAACAATTAATTAATTTAATTAACACACTGATTCTTCCATCCACACTGAGAAAAGTGAAGCACTATCTTTTAGGAATTCACCTTTGTCATTTAGGTAAATGCAATAAAGGTCAAAGGAGAGAAACCTTTGACCTAATGGAAATCTCATTCCCATTTTAGGAGAGAAAATATGAATAAAATTATGAGCAAATAAAAAAAGATAATTGCTAAAGAAAAGCAAGGGAAAGTTAATGTGAGATGTAAATTATTTAGATATTAGGTGATTTGTGAGTATAAACATGAAGACAGGAAGGAAGTAAAAATAAAAAGATTTCACAAGAAGAAGGTGTGAGAAACATAAATCAGAGCCATGAAAACATTTCTATGACTTTGCAAATGATTTGAAATTTCTTCCTTAAAAGAGAACTCCAGTAGCAGTGGAAGCTGATGTCTTGGAAGCAAAGAGACATGACTCTTAAGAAAAATGGCAAGTAACAGAAACTATTTCACATCTCTATATTCCCCAATTTTTATCATTTATCAATGATTTAGAAACTATAAATTTATTTATTCCATTTATATTCACTAAGCATCCTTCCAGGAAACAGATACCATTGGGAAAAATTAAGACGGGTTTCTTCCAGAATCCATCCTCGTAAATATCCCCTCCTTCCAAAAAAAGAACCATGACAGAGACAACAAATTGATAATCATGTATTCTCTCTTACAATGTGCTCCACACTGTGTATTCTAAGCATATAATAAAAATTTGCTAACTTATATCATCTTTTTATCTGTATAATTCTTTCTAAGCTTTAGAAACTTTTTGAAAGCAAATCTGAGACACAATTATAAGTAGGTCACTCAAAAAGTGATTTCAAGAAATCTAGTGTTCCTTAAGTATGCTTGAAAGACCAAGGACAAATACTGGTTCCTTTAACTCTTGCTACTTATATGGTCTTGCACAATTTAGCTCTTCTTCTTTCTTCTTCTTCTTTCTTCCTTCTTCTTCTTCTTCTTCTTCTTTCTTCTTCTTCTTTCTTCCTTCTTCTTCTTCTTCTTCTTCTTCTTCTTCTTCTTCTTCTTCTTCTTCTTCTTCTTCTTCTTCTTCTTCTTCTTCTTCTTTCTTTCTTCTTCTTCTTCTTCTTCTTCTTCTTCTTCTTCTTCTTCTTCTTCTTCTTCTTCTTCTTCTTCTTCTTCTTCTTCTTCTTCTTCTTCTTCTTTCTTGTTCTTCTTGTTCTTGTTCTTCTTCTTCTTCTTCTTCTTCCTCTCCTCCTCCTCTTCCTCCTCCTCTTCCTCCTCCTCCTCCTCTTCCTCCTCCTCCTCCTCCTCCCCCTCCTCCTCCTCCTCTCCCTCCCCCTCCCCCTTCCCCTCCCCCTCCCTTCCCTCTCCCCCTCCCCCTCCTCCTCCTCCTCCTCCTCCTCCTCCTTTCTTTTCTTCAATATGGGGGAATATTAATTCTTATCTTCTTTAGCAATAGTAAGTCAAATATGAAACCCCTTAAACACTCATTATATAAGGACTATGACCAAAAAGAATTGATTGATCTCCACTTGCACTGTCCTACTTGTACTTTGTTCTCTAGCTCTGAAAGGCTTCAAGTTACACATTTGCCATCTTGGCTATGTTTTTTTTTTTTTTTTTTATAACTCACCTGGGTTGTTTTTCCTTCCCCTTATCTTAGATCTTGAGAATAGGCTATAGGGTTATACCTTTCAGGGAATTTATTTAGGTAATTCTGCAGCACTTTATTATTTTTTTTTACTAATTCATATCATGAAATTATTACTTAATTGAAATCAGCTGCTAGGTATTTGGTATTCCATTTTTGATACTGAGTGTCTTGGCAGTGAAATATTATTATTCAACTCCTGTTCTTAGGACGCAAGCTGGAAAACAAGAGCTCCTCCAGAAAGATTTATGGAATGTCAAATGATAGCAGACTAAGTATACGAGGTCAATGGGAAGTTGAAAACTACGCATGAAAAAAGACATGTCGTATCTATGTTGGAACAGGTAATTAGTTATCCAGGGAGAAAACTATATGATCTTGAAAGCTTTCCCAGTGCTCATATTACATGTTTTAAAATTTAAAAAGGAACCATAGAAGTATTCATGGGGGATAAAAACAACCCACAAACAAATACTGATATAGCATTGTAGGATATTCATGCCATAGTTTGAGGAGGCATTTAGAACAGAAGGCAGGGCACTTCAGTGAGAGTCATCAGGATATAATGCAAATATAAAGTAATAAGCAATTTCTCTGTGTCTCAGAATATTACTAAAAATAATTGCAAGTGTACTGCAGCTTGGGTACTATGACTCAGATGCATGAAATCACAATGTGCGTATGTGCTTTAGATTCAGCATGAATTTACATGAAATAGAGAAACGGAA